ATAAAAGTTAAATGGCTGTAGTGACTACAAGTGTCACATCCAGACATTTGTAATGAACACAGAGAAGCTTGAACAGGATTTTTTACCTTATGAGTCTAAGAATGAGGGACAGTTTCCCAGAGGTGCCCACCCACCCTCCATGGACATTTCTCCTTTTGTTCCATTAGCTAAGATTGAATAACAAATCCAGGCTTAAGTCAATCACTGACAAAAGGAACACACCCATTATGATTGACTTAGACTAACCAGTGTCCACTTCTTGGGACTGATGGTGTGGTCAACATCCTGCCCTGAGCATAGTAGCAGGTGAACACCTGAGCCAAACCAAGATTCCATTAGAAAGGAGGTGTAAGATGAATACTGAGTAAATCTAATACCCAACATTCGGCCCTAATTGTGGGTCAAAAAAATGGCCGTTGTTGATGCAAACCCAGCCTTGGCCAGTAGAGTAGGGAGGGGTTTGAGCTCTTGGAAGCAGTGGAGGTGGAGCCCAGAAGAGGAGAAGAAGAGAGGACACGAGGCCAGAGGAGTCATGGCAATGAGGGGTAACAGCCCACGCCCGCTCTCACTCTCTTCTGCAATAGCTCTCAGTCCTCTTCCCGCTTCCTCACATAACTCTGGGACTTCCTCTGTGACTTTTTATAACCCAGGGAAGATTCTGGTATTGAAAAGGGTTTGGCAGCAGAGGTAATACAATACAATGGCCTAGAGGTAAGACATATTGAATTTGAGAGCAAAAGCTTGGTGCCACTCAGCATTTTTTACCTGGCTGGGAATTGGATTTTCAAGGAAAAAACTGAACCAGAATGCTTAAAGAATGGCTGAGGATGAGAGATGTAAAGAAAGGTGCACTCAGAGGTCAAAGTGATCATGGACGGATGACAGAGGCTCAGTTGTCATTTTGCCGGAGTGGGATATGACTTGCCAGTGACTCATCGAGTGGTTTCTGCAGAAATGAAGGAGCAATCACATCAGACAGTAGCAGCCCAGGGTAAGTGCAGAGTCTGATTAGATCAGTTATTTCTGATACAGCAGTTAGGCCTCCAGTTTCTGTGGGCTGAAATGTCATTAAGATCAAGCTCCAGGAGAATTTTACACTCCGATGAGTCTTCTTCAGTGCTTGAAAAACTAACAGGAAATAAAACAACAAACCCACCACCACTTTACACCCAGTTATCTACACAGTCCCCTAGAGTCCAGCGTGTTCTAGATTATTCTATTTGGTGATAAGGTTTACTATAGTGTTGTTCTTTTTAATTTGGAGGAAAGACTGTCTTAGGCTGTGTCCTCTCCCAAATAAGCAGAACCTTAATAAAGGTTTTTTATAGTTAGTTCATGGTTGGAAGTGACTTCAGGGGTCAAAAATGAGCCTGGAAAGAGTGACTTAAGGAAGGAGGGCAAGAAAGAATGCCAATCCAAAGGTGCATTATTGAGTTAGTCACTGCTGTGGGCTTCTGGGGCTCAGTCCTTCCAAGGCCCATCTGAGGAGTTGTGCAAAATGCACCTCAGAATAGAAACAAAGAGGAGAGTATTTATCTCCCTTCGGTCAAAGTATTCTCAGAAACATTAACTCCCTTACATGTCCAGGTTTGCCCTGTATCAGAATGGCCCCTGAAGAAGGTATTCTCAGTTACCTGCACAGCTTATTGCTGGTTGCTGCAGCAATGCCTGGAGTGCAAAGATAGGCTGAGAGTGGATGCTGCCCAAGAGGTATCCTCTATATAAGGGCCCCAATATATAACTTAGAAGGTAAGAGAAGCACAATATGGTGAGGGTGTTGTTACTTTTGTTCAAGGGAGTGATTCTGAATGTTAGGGGGAAGCACACCCCTGTAACACTTGTGGATATTTCAGTTATGAAAGAGTATATTGCAATTTGGGATCCTCACAGTTACATAACTGGGGTCAGTCTCGTCCCTTGGTAAGGTCTTGTGCAAGAAAATAGTCTTTGAGTACTTGCCATGCCTGTGGTCTCCTTATTCAAAAGTGATCAGAAATGGGTCCTTCCACATAGGCCACCTGCTTTTGTGTTTACCACAACTGATTGGGCCAGGGTTGATTCTCTAAGTGGCCAGCAGCCCATGAGTGGACCTGACCCAAAACCTTTCTGTGGCAGTGGTCAAGACGAAGTAGCCACAAGGAGGAGGAAGGCTAAGTGACAGGATGGGGTAATGATGCCTGACCTTGTGGGGGTGACAGTAACTGTGTCACTTGACCTGCAGACTAAGATGAAAGTAAAGGAATCCTAACAGATTGGCCAGGAGACAAGATCTTGTGTGTTCAGTGGCAGAGAACAAGGTAATTGGGAACAGGCAGAGTTGAAGTATGAAAGAAAGCAGATAGGAGGGCGTCAAGTCAATAGCAATGATCAATGATCCACCAAATCACGAGACTTGACCAAGATACACTGAGATCATCTTCTCGCCTCCCTCTCCTATTCCCTCGGGTAAGCGTTACATTCTTTTGCTGAATTTAGGATTTGTTCCTACTATAATTTGCCTGTGTAGTTAGTCAGGCTTTTTTTTTTTTTAAGATTAGTGTATTTTTTTATTTTCTTACATTGTTGTTCATTTTTGTACAGTAATTGGTTTCTCTCCTTGGCTGTAGACCCCATTATTTTCCTGCCACCATAGCACACATGGACTGTCTCCAGAGTCCCCTGTGCTCTTCCCTCCCTTGCTTTGACCCTCTCTCTTGCCTCCTCCCTTGCTGTATGTCTCAGATCTATGGAGAGCTTGGAAGTTTTGTCTTTGTCTTGGTCTTTTGTTCCTTTTCTCTCTATTGTGCATTTTCTCTATATTCTTCTTTTTTTAAAAGATTTATTTATTTATTTATACAAGCACTGGGTACAGTCAGAAGTGTGGGAGGGTGAGAGAATTCACCAGAGCCAGAGCGGGGAACAGAACAGGCAGACTGACGAAGTACACTGCTGAGGGGAGCAGCGGGCGTGGCAGGAAAGGTCTGTCGCACCATGTGGGACCCTCGCTGGTGGCCAGGAACCAGCGCTGCAGAGGCTGCGGGCAGCTTCGCAGTCCAGTGCTCAACTGCTGCACCACCAGGGGAGGCCCCATTTTCTCTATATTCTGCAATGCATAACCATCTGATATTTATCTTTTTCCTTCTGGCTTATTTTGGCCTTACACAGCTTCTGTTTTCTGGCTGTTTCTTTGTCATTCCCTCCCTCTCTGGTCAAAAACAGGTTAAGTAGGATCCAGAATTTAGATTCCTCAGGAGCGTGTCAAGCTGTCAACAGGGGTCTACTTGAAGTCCCTCTCACCAGATGTGGGATGAGCAGATAGCACGCTGTCCTTCCCTTTGGTGAGCTGGACTCAGCACAGCAGCTCTCTTTACATCTACCCTTTTAAAAACTCCTCACCACTGGTGAGTGGTTGCAACAGAGAAGGGGTTTCCAGGTCTTTCCTTTGATGTTTCCCATTTTTGTCTATCTCAGATTTACCTTTGTAACTGATATGTAATGTATATTGGCACCTCAGTCATATGACATTTAACAAGCTGATAACATTGCAGTGTCACACGGTGAGTGCAGACAAAGGCCCATGCATGTGGCATTGGGAGAACAAAGAAAAGGGACCTCACCTAGCTGGAGGGTTCATGACACAGGAGATTCCTGGAAAAGGCAATTTCTTATTTGATTCCTCAATGTGATGACTTGGGTGGGGGCTGTTTTGGAGGGAAGCATGATCATGAAGACATCCCTCTGCCAAGTACATCACATTTTTAAAGTTTCAAAAACCAAATGTAACAAAGAAAGCCTTAGTGATTTCTTAAATTCCCTCATTTAGTGTCTAAACTTCCTATAAATTTATGAATGTAGGGCCTCCCTAGTGGCGCAAAGGGTTAAATTGCAGCACTATGAAGCTATCTGCAGCTCTGCAGCACGAGTTCGATCTCAGGGAGCTAAACCACGCGGCGCAGCAGACCTCCTCTCTCGCCCGCTGCTCCCCTCAGTGGTGTATTTCAGTAAATCCGCCTGTTCTGCTCCCCACTCTGTCTCTGGTGAATCCTCTCAAACCACCCCCCCACCCTACCCTGCACCTCTGGCCTATACCCCAGCTCTTGTGTGCATAAATAAATAAAATAAATCTTAAAAAACAAATTTATGAATGTAAGTATCACTGCAAAATCACAAAATCCTCTACTCTTTTTGATTAATCCTGGGGGAATTCTTTTTTTTTTAAAGATTTATTTATTTAGACAAGCACTGGGTACAGTCAGAAGCGCGGGAGGGTGAGAGAATCCACCAGAGCCAGAGCGGGGAGCAGAGCAGGCAGAAGGACCGAAGTACACTGCTGAGGGGAGCAGCGGGCGACAGGAGAGGTCTGTGCGCCATGTGGGACCCTCGCTGGCGGCTGGGGATTGAACTGGCGCTGCAGAGGCCACAGACATCCCCGCAGCCCAGTGCTCAACTGCTGCGCCACCAGGGGAGGCCCACGTGGGGGAATTCTTAAATTCCATTTATGCCGAGAATAATGAAAGGGAGTGTGAGAAGGGCCATTTATCGATTTAAAACATATCCTGATAAAAACTGACCTTGGGTGTTGAGAGGTATTAGTACTTTGAAATTATTTCATTTACAAAGTAGTTCAAATTGAATTTAATGGGCTGGGAAGCTGTAGTTTTACATTAATGAGTGTACCTAATAAAAAGCTTTGCATTGATAAGGAATAGGAAAGGTCAACTGAACTAATATAATTATTTTATTAGTTTAAGCGTTATTAATATGTCAATTATTTTGACAGATGGGGGGGTGAAAGCAAGGAGCTCTGACTTTAAGCACCCTTAAAAGAGCATTATAAATCATTTATCAAATGCTCACATACATGATGGATCACACAATCAAAATGCATGTATCATCTGGGCTTCAAAGAAAGTTGGACTAAATGGTGTAAAGTAAATTATATGCCTGATATTGGATCTTCATTTGATCTGTCACAACCTTGAAAGTCATTGCTCAAAAAGGAAAGACAACAGACATCTGCTCAATCAACTTTATTTTTAATTACCCAAATATGTATTGACCTTTGTATCCAGACATAGTGGGGGATACAAGGTGAAGAAAAGACAAGATTCCTACCCTTAAGTAAATCAAAGCCAGCTGAAGACATATTATACAAGACAGTAAGACAGGGTGATATACCGAGTAGCATCTGCGTAGTGTGTCACAACTTAGTACACAGCAAACCCACACAAGGGGACACCATCAGTGATCACAGCAAGGTGTGGGGGGAGGTGACTGGGTTCTACTTCCTGGGAGGTGCAAAAAGCAATGGGCATGTGTTCTAGTCCCACAAATCTCAGTGGCTTATTGTGGACTTGGCACAACTAAGTTCTGCCTCTCTCAGCTTCAGTGAGCTCTACTGTAAAGTAGAAGGTGGGGACTAGATGGCCTCCGAGGTCTCCGTGCTATAACACTACAGGGTCCTAAGGGCAAATGCCAAGAACCTTGTGATACATCCAAGGCAGAACAAACGCAAAGCCACCTGGGTGGGGAAACAAAATAGTTTTTTGTGCTTGGGCAAGGTATGTTCAGGGACAGCCGGGATGTTTAAAAAGATTTAACTACTGCAGATTCTGGGGGCAGTAAACTTGAAGATGGGGAAAACAGAGAGTTAAGTCAGGTAAGGGACACAAAGCTGGGCCAAGGTGAAGAAAGAGATACCATCTTTCTTGTGGTCAGAAGTCTGATTTATCTCCACGCTCCCCACATCACTCTACATTCTTCATGACTTGGTGGAAATTTGTTGCAGCTCCTTCCCCCAAACTAGACACCAAGTAGAGTAGGAAGAGGGTGTGGTTACAGATGCCCTCTCTTTAGGCCCGTACAAGTAGTCCCCTTTTGTGGGCCAAGAAGCCAAGAGCAGTTGCTGAAAAGATGGTGGTGAATCCGATCAGCCTGAGCAGGCCTGGCACGGAGGGCAAATGTCTCTCCAGGAAGGTCGTGGTAATCGGCTTCACAGGGACATCCTGAGTTCAGAGAACATGAGCTGTCAGTACAGGCCTGGTGTGCTTCACTGCAGAAACTCTGCCCTCTTCTAGTTCTCTGAGCACAATCCAATTTTGCTACCATCTAGGCCATTAAACACCATACTTTCTCTGCTCCTAATACTCACCTCCATTCCTTCTGGGTCCTTTATTTCTTCTTGGGGTAACATTATTTTACAACACTGTGATTCAGAGTTATAGGCTCACACCTCCTCAGACGTATGTCACCACACCTGCTACCAAGGCACCCAGAGTCCTCCACCGTAGTCCGCTGTGCCCCCTCCTCACTTTATTCCCACCTCCTCATCTTACAGCCTCATTTCCACATCAGATTTCTAGGGTTTGTTATTGATTTTGTCTTGTTCCTCCCCTTCAGATTCTTAACTAATCTTGCCTCATCCTTCAAATTATTCCTCACTTTCTCAGAGAGCCTTTCCTATACCCCCAGGCTAAGTCGGCCCCCCCTTTTTTTTAACATCCTCAGCATGTCTTTTTCAGTGAATTTGTATTTTCTGGTTGTCCTCTGTGCTCCACAATGTTGAGATCCATGGGAGCACTGCTGGGCCCTTATCTGGGGCCGGTGCAGAGCAGATATTTGTCAAGTGAATGAATCTGTGGCCCACTCAGCCGTCAATACCATCTCTGAGAGAAGCACTAAGAGGATGACTTTGCAGTGGCAGTTTTTCTTTTTGATTTGCCACCTGGCAGAAGAATAACTGTCCTTTCTGAATTCTATCCTCTACAATGAGTTTCATGCTATCCTTCGATGCAATTAGGAAATCTCACCGGGATCTTATTACAACATTGCTAGGTATACTGAAATGCATTTTATTTTATTTTATTTTTTTTAATAGAGGCATGTTTTTTATTTATTTATTTTATTTGTTTGTTTTGTTTATACATGCACTGGGCACAGTCAGAAGCACGGGAGGGTGAGAGAATTCACCAGAGCCAGAGCAGGGAGCAGAGCAGGCAGAAGGACCGAAGTACACTGCTGAGGGGAGCAGCGGGCGGCAGGAGAGGTCTGCGCGCCATGTGGGATCCTCCTCTGGTGGCCGGGGAGCAGCCGGGGATCGAACCGGCGCCGCAGAGGCCGCGGGCAGCTTCGCAACCCAGCGCTCAACCGCTGCGCCACTGGGGAGGCCCTGAAATGCATTTTAAATCTAAATCTGCTCTGTTGCATTCCACCCCTTTGCTCCTGCACAGGAGATACTGACCTGACATATCTTCCTTTCATTTCCTATCTTCTGCTGAGAATCACCAGGTTAAATATTTATATAAGCAACAGCTGTTTATTGAGTTCTTAATATGTCTAGAACTACCTGTGAAATATCTCTCCCAACCAAAAATATTTATATTTTTCCTAATAATCTGCAATGGATTTTGTTGCTACAAATCTATTAAAGTTCTTCTAGATCCTTCCCCTTTACCCTAACCCAGGGGATCTCATTAAATATTCATGGCTTGAATCACTTATGGAAATGTATGTGTATATGCAAGCACACACACACAAATGTGTTCTATTTGCAAATAATTGTTTTTAGAGAAAAGGGATTGACATTCATAAAATAAAACATAACCTACCACAGACTCTGGTTCTGACTGCCAGATTTCATCCTCTGGGATCTTCCCCATGGCGTGCAGGATCTGAAAAGAAAGAGCATCTTGGCGAATAACAAAACTGACATTGTCATTTTCTTCATTTGCTCTTTGAATAAAGGACTAACTAAATGTCCCTTGGGATATTGATGTACATCAACATCATCAGAGTAAAAGCCAATGTAGTCCCTACAACCTTTAAAAGGCTCCCAAAATTCTTCTATCTATGACTTAAAGAGGATATAAACGTAAGGTTCACCATCCATTTCAGTAGTTGTGAACACATCTTCATAGACATGAGATCAGAGAGATTGTTGGGAAATGTACAAATAAATTCAGAATCCTAATAAAAACATCTTTGATTCTACAATATAAGACCTGGGTGATCTCTCAAGTGCAGCCATGGTTATCTTTTGCCCCATGGGTTCTTTATTTGTTTGATATTTCCATTGTTACTTTTGGGCTAAGGTGTTCATTCTCAGCTGAGGCTACCGTTATAAGGGTGCTTCATGGATCTTCAGATAGCGGATGCTGAGGAGTTGGTCTCCAGGATCGCACTTTTTACTACTTGTGAGGAGGCCCACGAGTTCCCTCCTTTCCCACAGCCTGTGACCCCAGGTCCTACCTCTCGGGCTGCTCTCTCCCCAGCCTCCACAGCACCATCCATGTAGCCGCTCCAGTGCGTGGCAGTCTCAGTGCCTGCAAAATAAATCTTGCCCACCGGCTGGCGTAGAACCCTTGAAGCAAAAGCAAAGAGGGAGACGTGATTAGTCTCTGTGAGCCAAAGAAGAGCCTTTTCACAAAGACCAAGACTGTGGGTTTCTTCAGAAACATCAGTAGTAAATCAGCAATTTGGGGATGATATTAATAGGTCCCACCAGCTCTTGCATGTGCCTTGTTATAGATACAACTGAATAAAAGCCAAAGTCTGCTCTTGTCCCAAGAGCTTACCGGTAAGGGGAAGGCTGTCTTTGGAGGTAAAATTTGTATTTTCTTCACCTACATGAAGTGAGGGATTATATGAGCCTAGTTACGTGTAGCGCTGAGCAAGGTGACATGTGCCCCAGTCCGCCACTTGACTACCGATGAACTTGACAAATCACTTCCTCTCCCTGAGCTCTGTTTACACATCTCTCTCTCTCTCTCTCTCTCTCTTTTTTAAAGATTTGTTTATTTATTTATACAAGCACTGGGTACAGTCAGAAGCGTGGGAGGGTGAGAGGATTCACCAGAGCCAGAGCGGGGAACAGAACACGCAGACCGATGAACACTGCTGAGGGGAGCAGCAGGCGCGGCAGGAGAGGTCTGTGCGCCATGTGGGACTCTCGCCCAGTGGCTGGGGATCGAACCAGTGCTGCAGAGGCTGCGGGCAGCTTCGCAATTCAGTGCTCAACCGCTGCGCCCACCGGGGAGGCCCTGTTTACACATCTCTTAATGGGCACAATTTGAGAATTTTTAAGACCTTTCCACGTAACAAGCCTGTGAGAGTGACTCTGGCTCCAAAATTATCATTCATTGAGCATTGCTACCTGTGTTAAGGGTTTTATTACCTCAAATTAGAACAGTTAACATTTGTTGGGTACAAAGTATTCTTCCAAGTGCATTACTCCTTACCACAACCCTGTGAACTCTTACTATCTCTATTTTGCAGAAGAGAATATGGAAGTACAGAGACTGTGGTGGATACTGTGACACACTATCCAGACCCCCTTCAAGAATGAAACCTACTCCCACTTGCTGGGCATGCTGCTGAAAGATGGCCTTCTGATGGCAGCCATCTTTGTGGGTTGCCCCCTCTGAAGAGAATTGCCTAGTTCAAGATTATGCCTTCTTCCAGCAGCAGTTACATCCAATAACCAATCATCAACTCGCTAAAGATGCTAGAAAATAACACATACTTTCATGAACATGCTGGTTATTGTCTATTGTATGTCATTTTGTGTTTTGCCATATGTCTGCTAAGGCCAGTGAGGTTCAGAGAGGAGAAGTGACTTGTTTAGGATGATAAAGTTGGCTATTGGTAGAATCAGGACTGGAATCCAAGTCTCTTCACTCTTAATCTAGAACTCAGTTTGCTTTTATAATAGTGTACTTGGCACATATACACTTCCAATGAGGACGTTTTACTGTGCTCTAAATTCAGTATAAAGACTCTTCTGATAATGTAAGTGAACCCTCTGACTACCTAAATTCCTGCTCTTTTGCTGCAACCCTCCTTGGTTACATTGATTGGGATTGCTCCTTCAGATGAATTAAGAGTGAAAGGCACCACCTATAATGACTTCATTCATGAAATTCACAGGATACAAAGGAAATTGAGGTTTTTTCCAGCATTTACAAGAAGCAGAGAAGAATGGCAAGAGTTTATTTGGGTTCAGTTTCAGGGAATTTCGATTCGAGCTCAGCACATGTTACTCTACCTTCCATACTGAGTCAGGATCCCGGGGGGAAAGTAGGTCGTGTAGCAACCTCCTGAGTATTGCTCCTCACACCAGTTCTTCTCCTCATAGTGCACCGGCTGCAAGGCAGAGTGATAACAGCTCAAGGAAGACTCAGAGGAAACTAGCTAGTGTAGAATCAATCATACACAGTCTAGTAGCTATCTACTGAAGAAGCAAAAGATTCTGAAATACAGCCTTATTACCTTGATGTTTTAGATAGGACTTTGGGCAGATAAGTATCCAGGTAATAAACTTAGAAAGTTTTTCCACTTGGTTCATTCATGTGTCAGGTTGAAATTGTCTAGTTCCATTTTTAAATTGGTCTTAACTATTAAGACATTTTTAATGTTTCATAGTTTCAAGGTAAGTCTTGAAAAGGATTTATGCTTTCTGGAGTTGTTGGAGGAGGAAAAAAACAGAAAAACTTGTCTGTCAAGGAAAAAGGATCGCCAGATTCTGTTTTTGGTGAAAACAAGCTTTGTTAAGGAGGCTAGACAGAAAAATTAAGGTTCTCATGGGATGTAGGCATTTCAGTTGATGGTGGTTCTTGTAAACAACTATTGATCTGAAAAATGTTTTTGCCACAAACAGGCGAAACATCTGCTGAGATTTTGCATAGCTCAAACTCTTTAGTAAAACGACGAAACATAAGCATTATTTTGTTTCTTTATTGAGGTAACATTGGCTTACAACATTGTACATCACAAGCGTTATTAAGCATTATTTTGAAAAGATAAAATCAACACGGCAAGTTTTAAGAGAACGTGTTAGTTAAAAAAAATGTTTAAAAGAATTGCAGTCACCTATTAGACTCTGAATAGTCATTTCTAATGCAATGTTTCCAGATATCTGCCTGAGGGAGGGAACTGGCATTGGCAATGAATGCCAGCCCTCTTTCTTCTGCAGCCACCTCAGGAGTGCCCTTGTCTGGCTGTTGTCAAGCAATCAGAAAAGAGATTGGATTTCATCTTCCACCTTCCCTCACTTCCAAGAATTGCTTCCTTCCACACAATAGACACCAAAGCAGCAAGAGTAGCACAAATATCATAAGATTTCATTCATATGTGCAGCATAAAGAAACAAAGCAAATGAACAAAGGAAAAACACTGATCTTTTACATACAGAAAAAAGACTGGTGGTCACCAGAGGGGGAGAAGGCTGGGAGTGGGTGAAGCAGGTAAATATGGTCAATTATATGGGGAAGGACAGAAACTAGACTTTTGGAGTGATCATGATGTAGTGCTTTCAGATGTCGAGTTACAAGTCAGTACACCTGAATCTTATATGTCATAAACCAATGTTACGTCAATAAAAATTAATTAAAAAATGACTAAAGCAAGTGTCTCTTTTTATGCCAAGAACAAACAAAGACAAGATCAACTCATTTTTATCAGCAGCAATGAAGCATTCACATCCTTCTTAGAAAAGGACACTTTCCACGGAACTATGAAGCAATCCGCGGCCTCGGCAGCACGAGTTCGATCCCCGGGCCGGCCAGGGAGCTAGTCACATGGCAAGGCAGACCTCTCCTGTCTCACCCGCTGCTCCCCTCAGCAGTGTATTTCAGTCAGTCCGCCTGTTCTGTTCCCCACTCTGTCTCTGGTGAATCCTCTCACCCCCCCATCTCTGGCCTGTACCCCAGTTCTTCTATGCATAAATAAATAAAACTTTAAAAAAAGAAAAGAAAAAAAAAAGGAAGCTTTCCCAAAGTAAAAATGAAACATTTTAATGTTTCGACACCACTTTTGTAAGTGATTATTAAATCCATTTATCCGTGAAGCTTTTGAAGACAATGGAGACCAATGAGTAAATGAGCAGTTAAAGTTTGGGGAAAATCTAAGGAGGGGCTAAGGATGTCTCACTGGTTAAGCCTCTTAAACCCAAATTGATGTACATCACCACCTAGTGGAACACCTACCTGCTTAATCTTATTACCCTGACACTGACCTTGCCACGTTCTGATGTGGCTTGCTTTGAAATATTATTATTAAACATTACTTTGAAGTAATGTTTGGCTAAATAAAATGTTTGGAAATTTTAGAACAACTGCTTTCCTCTTCAACTGGGGATCCCCCAAGACAAATCTCACAGTTGTTGTTGAGATCTTAGTTACACACGGCTTCAGCCCGAGAGTGTCTCAGAATGTAACTTCAAACAAGCTTGAGTATCGACCAGGATGAAATATCTTAACAGCATGTTATAATAGAAAACCTGCAGTTCTTAACAGATGCCAAGTGACTCTTCGTAGTGATATGTATTTATGGTTTTGCTCCTTCACACACACAACCCTTGAGCCCAGAGGCTATGCCTATATTTAAACTTGCTAAGTGATATGTGAAAGCAAAAAATGAAGCAAAACACATTCCCTTATTATTGTTTCTCTCCAAAATAATTAATTCATCAATCCTGTTCATTTGCAGAAGAAGGACTCCCCAAATCCTCAAGACCATGTGCTTCATCCAGATCAAGTACAGGGGAGAAATAATCTTACTTTAAAAGAATGGACAGGGCCTCCCCGGTGGCGCAGGCAGTTGAGCACTGGGCTGCGAAGCTGCCCGCAGCCTCTGCAGTGCTGGTTCGATCCCCGGCCACCTGCGAGGGTCCCACATGGTGTGCAGACCTCTCCTGCCGCGCCCGCTGCTCTTCTCAGCAGTGTATTTTGTCAGTCTGTCTGTTCTGTTCCCTGCTCTGGCTCTGGTGAATTGTCTCACCTCCCGCGCTTCTGACTATACCCAGTGCTTGTATAAATAAATAAATTAATTAAAAAAAAAGAATGGACAAAAATGACAAGATCAAAAGCCACAACAACTGGACTAGCAAGAAGCAAGCCACGGCAGAGCGGGGCAAGGTCAGTGTTAGGGTAATGAGATTAAGCAGGTAGGTGTTCCACTAGGTGGTGATGTGCAGAGATCACAACCAGTGAGACACTCTTAGCCCCTCTTTAGATTTTCCTCAAGCTTTAACTGCTCATTTATACAGTCTCCATTTTCTTCAAAGCCTTCATGGATAACTGGATATAATAATCACTTTCAAAAGGTGATTTAATCCATGTCAAAATATTAAAAGCCCCGTAGGCTGGTGAATGTATGAAAGCACCAGTTCACTTAAATTTATGAGGCAGGCAGTTATGGCAGCTGATTCTGAGTATACACAGTACCTAGACTGTCACCAAGCACCCCAACCATAAACCTCCTGACCCTACCTCATTCCCAGATTCAACCACTTGGGAGGTACTACTTGTTTAACTGCAAGATCAATTTCCTCAGGCTACTTTCAATGGTGTCTCAGAAATAGGGGATAGGGCTCCCTCTGAGTCAATCACATATCTTCCCTGCACCCCTTATGTTCAATGGTAAACAGGCAAAAAGAGATATTCGGGGGGCCGGGGCTGTAGGCTACCCTATTTCTACCCCAAAGATTCTACTGGTGGTGGAGGTGCAGAGGGTGTTAGGGATGGCTTATTTGATAATTTATGTACACAAATGAGGCTGGCTGTTAGCAAGATCAACAAGCAAAAGGCAAGCTCTTTTCCATCCCCCTTCTGGCTGTTACGTTCTATGATCACACTAGAAAGCAGCAGAAGTTTCTCTCCTTTATCTTCTGACGTTTGTTCTGACAGAGCTGGGAGCAGAGTGGCCCAATGACCTGCTCCAGGAAGAGCTCTCAGTTCAAGGACAAAGCAGCATTGCAGGGTCCCTGAGCTGCCACCAGCACAGCCAGGACCCTCCTGTCTGGGATAACTTGTAAGGTGCCGTGTCCTGTGCACACCCCTCTGGGAATACACCTGGGAAGAGAGGAGTGCCAGGGCTTGCCCTGCATGAGCTTATCCCTGCTAGTCCTTCGCACACAGAGGAAGATCTCTGTCCCTGAAGAAAAAGTTGGGGAGCAGCCTTACTTGCAGAGCTTCTGGGCAGCCCAGAACTTTTGCATAGAACTCACAAAGTTTCTTCAACCTGAGGGAGGAAGGGGGGAAAAGACAAAAGTGAAAAGGAAGGAAGTGAAAGAAAAAGTTTCTGAAAGAAGTAACTCTGCCCTCTTCATGCATAAATAAATAAAATAAATCTTTTTTGAGAAAACATGTTCAAAAGACAAACTGGGAAAAGATTTGCTCGAGGCACTGTTCTGGACACTGGAAATCTAGCACTGAACCAGCAGACAAAACTTCCTACCTTTGTGGATCATAATATTTTAGTGGAGACATTTTAAGATGAGTGGTCCAGTCGGCTCTGATCATGCACATGCAGTGGCAACAGTCATGGAGGTGACAGAGGGAAGAGATGCAGCATAATGTAATCTCTTAGCCTGTAAATATGCTATTAGTGGTGGTGGTGTGGGAATAAATAATTGGCAGTGGTAGACACTAATTGTCAAAAAAAATTGTCACCTCCAGAGAAATCAGTCCCTCTGTTCCTCTAATCTGTAATTATTTTATGTATCACTCATGCAAGACATACTGCAGATGGCCCTACAATGCACTCATTTGTCTACCTGGTTATCTCTTTCCCAAGTAAACTTGCAGCCCCTGGGCTGTATCTACTTTCGCCTTCACCATAGTTGCCTGCAGAGTATCTTCTTACAATAAACTCAATGAGAATTAATTGGAATACTGAACAGACACTTAACACTGGGAATACACATACTATTAGGCAATCTTTCAAAAGTTAAGTAAAGTGGAAAGGCAAGCAAGTCAACAGGAAGGAAAGCAGAAGAAAAGGAAGGGAGGCAGGAGGAGAGGGAAAGACAGAAGGAAGGAAGGGAAGAAGGAAGAAGATCTTTTTCAGTTACCTATCTTCTTTGGTAAGACGGGCCAGTTTTCTGGCTTTGTTGGCAAGGATAAATCTAGAACATGCAAATAAGAAAAAAGGAGGAAATTAACGGTTGCTTCCATCTGGCTTTACTTCTCTTACTGCACAATTGTCCAGTGTAAAAGTTAAAAGTTAAGGAAAAGAAACAAATTATGCACTAGCTCATTTTATATTCTTATTTACATATGACATTCCTGACACTGATAAACATCTCCTAACTTCAGGGATTTAAGGAAATGCAAACAGAAGAATGGCTACAATTTCTGCCGAGGGTAATAGTATGACTGATCCTCTTCCATGCACATGCCTGGTGGTCAATAAGAATGAACCCTTTTCATGAAATGCTCATGTAAGGTCTGAGCCATTCCATTTTCATCCGGTCCTTGCTCTTTGGTTTTATCTCAACTATGGAGTCTTTTAGTGTTCAGTCTTCTAGAATCTGCCTCTATTTCTAGCTCTATGATCCTTCAACTTAACACAAGGCCATGAGTTATCTATTTGGATCCTTGGCTCTTTCTGAGATAAACTTATATATATATCCTGGGGACCATCTCAATTTTGGCTACTCCAGGTAACCACCACTCTGGGCCAAGTTCTGACAGCCGAAACACCCCCTTCCTGTGCTAGTATTCCCTGCCGAATTGAGAACTAGGCTGGATTAGTTCCTCTCTAATTGGACTTAGAAAATCTCAGCATCCCACATGAGTAGCACTGATGTTCACAGACTCCAGAAGAAGGCCTCTTAATAAAATACACTAAGTCAGATCTTCATATCATGCTTTCACCAAAGGACAGAGTACCAAAATATATCTACCCCCAGCACTAAATATAAAACAAAATTAAAATATAAAAATTTTAAACTGTTACTGGTATTCTCTTCTAAATATGTATTCACCGGAAGAGTGAATTATTTTCTTACTGGATTTAATCACTGAACAAAGTTTGGGACACATCCATTCAGGATACAGGGATACCCTATCAACCCTGCATACCACTGCACCACCGTAACCATGCCTTACCCAATTATGGCAGGATAGCTGCCATCAGGTTTGGTATCATCCAACGTATAGGCAATTGGAGCATCCTCTCCTTCAATAATCATGGATCCACAATAATCTTGGAGAACAGCAAAACAGACAAAGTTATTCATCATCCTGTCAAACTACCAATAGCAGTTACAAAGAAGCACACAATTTTCAACTTGAGAAATTTGAAGGCCAATATAAGACATTTTACTCTCAGCATGTGATGGCAAACCAAACTGATGTTAAAAGGAAGGCTAAATAGCTAACATTTTGAGAAAGAATAAAATTGTAAGCCCCTCTCTGTAAAGAAGAAAGCAATATGAAATTATGAACTAATCCAGGCCACCATTTAATGGAAACTTGTTTTCCTTGCCATTAATAATTGTGTCCCCTATTTCCTCTTTAATAGAAGACCACATAAAAGCAAATATGTGCAAAAGAAATACTTGTCTATTACTGTGAAATAGAAGGGACTGAGTGTTCTGTTCACATTTTATGGGGAGTGACATTTCCATAAAGTAGTGGTTATCACGTTAGCCTCACACATTTTATGAGAAACCATTTATTCTACATTAATTCTTTCTTGGTTGTCTGGACATAGGGCAAAGAGGACATGGATAACTAAAATCCACAGATTCTCAAGCCATCATTTCAAACATGCCCTCCAAAGCAACTTGGAAAACAATTTCAGCTCATTCTGGACAAAAGTGTTTCTCTCTATGCTCCCTGAAAAAATATATGCAATTTCAACAAAAGCCTGTTGCAGAGCAGTGGTGAAAATGTCAGGGCCATTTCTGAAATGTCATAATAATATCCCACTAAAGTTTACCATTCCTTCTGCTCCATCTTTTACTTGCAAATTTGAGGTGGGTTAAACAAAATTATGATGGAAGACTCTGGAACAAATGGGTAAAAAAGCCAATAAAAGGGTTTCGAAATGAGAAAGAAAGAAAAGAGAAAGTACTTTGAGGCTATGCACCTTTTACCGCCATTCTTTCTCCTCCCATATCCCTCTCCATTGTGCTCCCAAGACAACCAATGCCCCAGTCAGTGACTGGATTAAGGGTGAGCTGGGGCAAGAAAAATGTTGAGAAAAGCTGAATTGTGGAAAGAAGAAATGTTGCAAGTCTGCCCAAGAACTCAAGAAGATTTAAGAGAAATTGCTAAGGAATCACCTGTTTGAAGACCAAGAGAGGAGACAAATGGGAATAAGAACATCTAGAAGAAAAGCAGAAGATGCAAGAGTAAACGTGGTGAGACTCTAGCACTGTGTTGGCAGATACAGTGGTCACTAGTTGTTGTGACATTTTACATTGGAGTTTAAAGCAATTAAAATGAAATCAATTGGCAACAGATGATCTTTCATCTCACCAGCTTCATTTCAAGTGTTTCAGCTAGTGGCTGCCATACTGAAAGGCGCAGCTCTAGAACATTTCCCTCAAGGCAAAATCCAGCATGTTAGTTAGTTAGTTGATTAGTTAGTTAGTTAGCTAGTGAGCATCCCCATTATGTTCTACATGACATAGTAGCTCACTTGTGGAATATATGTGAATGAATGAATGAATTCAAGATTGCAGAATCTTCACACTACTGCAAGGCCCACCTTTGCGAATGACTCTATAAATCAGAATTATCAAAACTGTATTAGAAATTGTTAATATTTGGAGGCCTCCCTGGTGGCGTAGGGGTTAAGTCTCAGCTCTATGAAGCTATCACCATTGCAGCCTGAGTTGGATCCCTGGCCAGGGAGCTGACCCACGTGGCGCAGCAGACCTCTCGCTGCTCCCCTCAGCAGTGTATTTCAGTCAGTCTGCCTGTTCTGTTCCCCACTCTGTCTCTGGTGAATCCTCTCACCCTCCTCACCTCTGGCCTGTGCCCAGTTCATGTATGCATAAATAAATAAATCTTTTAAAAAAGAAATTGTTAATATTCTATTTTCATAAGATTTTGTGGGAGGATTACATAAACCATTTTGACTTCTAAAGAGTTGGTCATTTTCTAAGATACATTACTTCTGTGAGTTTGTGCCAATGTATTTGATTCAACAGATTTGTACTTAGAACCTGGGCTAATATTTTATGTCTCAGAAAAGCAGTATATGCAAATGCATATCTTTGTATCAAGTTTCTAGGACCATCTCTGGAAGGTCTTTCTATAAGGAAAGTACTCACCCTTTTTCCTCCAGAAGGGTTCTTTGTAATAAACCATACACTTGATGACTGAACCCAGAGGCACACGAGCAATCAGCTGATTTCTCATCATTGGCAAAGGAGGATTAAAATGAATCTTCAGGCTTAGAGAAGGAGGAATAGCGCTAATTACGTATTTAGCCTGGAAGAAAAATGTCATCATTAAATGTTGTTAGTGGTTTGTTTTCTTTCTCCCCTAGTGCATCTTCTCATTTTACACTTGTCCCACTTTTTGTTGCCTTAACAGAGAAGTTGGAAGGGTCTTGTTAAAACCAAAATGAGCCTTTATTGTTCCCTAGTTGAAAACCTCCAAAGACTTCCTATCACAGTTGGAGTCAAAGTCAAGTTCCTCACGGTCACTGCCAAGGTCATACATGAAATGGAGCCCTGTTACATCTCTGATCTCCCCTCCTGTTACTCTTCCCATCATTCCTCTTCTCCCTGCCATTTTGACCATCTTGCAATTCCTCTACACCTGTCTGGTTTCTACCTCAGGGTCTTTGCACTGACTGATCCATCTACCTGGAACATTCCAGGTATGTGGCTTCATTCCTCATCTTTTGAGTCCTTGCTAAAAAATTACCTTCTTAATGATACCTTCCCTGAAGACCTCATTTAAAACTGCATGGGATACTACCTAGTCATCAAAAAAGATAAACTCATGCCATTAGAGTCAACATGGACGGACCTGGAAGGGATTATGCTAAACGAAGTAAGTCAGAAGGAAAAAGAGACACACCAGTGTCACTTACATGAGGAATACAGAGAAACCAGACAGGGGTTAGATAAAACCAAACTCAAAAACTAGCCCTTGAAAGCAGACTGTAGGACTGAGACACTCAGGGGGGAAGGGAAAAGGTGAGGGGTGAACACAAGGTGGAGAGGGAGCACATGGGTGCTTCGTTGGTAGAGTGCCCTCGTAACAGCACCAGAGGAGGGGGGATCTTATATTTCCAAAAACAATGATGCAAACCCACATTACCTAAAATTTACAAATAAAAAAACAAAAACAAAAACAAATACATATGTGAAAATAAGTTTAAAAATAATAAAATTGCATGACCAGGTGTCTCACCCCACCTTCTGTCACACCCCCTCCTCTGTCTCTGCTTGATTTTTTCCCACATACTATCACTATCTGGCATACTTTATATTTTAGCTCTATATTTGATTATGTTCTTTTTCCTTCACTAGAATGTAGGCCACCTGAAGGAAGGGAATTTTATCTGTTTTGTTCACTCTGGTGGTTCCCAAATTTTAGAATAATGCCAGGCACATAGGAGGTGCTTGTTATTTACCAAATAACTTTTTTTTTTTTTGGTTTTCTAATTGCATAGGAGCCCAATACAGAGGGTTGATAATATGTTTTTATAATTTTGCCCCTGCCCCCAAATATCCTGCTTTTCTTTTCCTTTCTTTCAAATGGTGGTAGCACTTTCATTTTTTGGCAAAGGAATTGTCTGTGAAGTGTGGACTATTCTTGGTTTTATTTTTAAGTTTTGGTTACTATGGGATTCTGGCCTCTTCTCCTTGGCTTCATGCTCATGGTTACCTCATATATCTCACGGTTTAGGGTCTCCACAAGGACATTTTCTCCTGTCTGGTCAATGTGGGTCACAGGCCTCTCCAGCTTCACTCGGTCCCCAAGGCGATCCATTATCCGCTCACTCACTTGACTAGATCCACCCACAAATTTTCTTTCCTGGAAAGAAAAAAAGAACTCAAGACATGGGTGGGAAATACAGGAATGGCTATAAATGACTAAGTTGCTAGTTTTCCTGTCTACCCTTATGTAAAATAGAAATACAATTGTGCTTTGCTATCACGAACGGTGCCTTTCATCCCTGTTTTCTAAGTAGTGATTGCTAGCTTCTGACAAAAATCACATATTTTCTATCAGTCACCTTACAGATTACGCACTTGCAAATTCCCAGGCTCCAACCTCAGTTAGACATCGTCAGCCTGACCACCACATCTCACCTACCAGGCCACATCTTCTGCTCTATGTCGTATCTGCATCCTTTTTGGGGGTTGCTGGGTCTAGTGAAGCTCTACCTAGGGCTGGACCATCACTTGCCTGTTTTTTTCCTTCCTTGTCATTGAGGCTCAGAACCCTCCTGACCCACCCCAGGCTAGCCTACTCCCTGTTCTAGACTGCCCACTCATCCTGGGTCAGGTGCTGGCTGCTTCTGTGGCTGCTGATGTCACTGTACTCCACTCCCCTGCCCTGAACCTTGCTTCCAAATGTTTCAATGGTTGTATACATGGATGAGCGCCTAAAATTTCAGTTTAGTTAACTTTTGACAAGACTATTTCAAAGAAGCCAGGAAAGAAGAAGGAAGGGAGAAGAGGAGGAGAAAGGAGGAGATGAGAAGGAGGGGGGAGGAAGTGGAAGGGGATGAAAGGAAAATGACTATCAATCAGATTATTTGAGACTCTAATCCACTCCCTACTGGGCTAGCACCTTGCCTTATACAACGCTGGGGCTCAGGTAACAGGGAATGAATGAATGAATGAGTGAGTGAGTGACTTCTATTTGGTGAGTGCTTTTAAAATTGAAAATGCATTCCTTACTTTCCTTTTTCTAAGACATGCTCAAGCTATGTTTATTAGACGTTTGCCTATAAAATTGTCAAATAATAATCTGAAAGCTGGGACTCCCTGGTGGTGCAAGGAGTTAAAAACAGCACTGTGAAGCTATCTGCAGCCTCTGCAGCATGAGTTCGATCCCCCAGCCTGCCAGGGAGATACCCACATGGCGCAGCAGACCTCTCCTGTCTCTCCCACTGCTCCCCTCAGCAGTGTATTTCAGTCAGTCTGCCCGTTCTGTTCCCCACTCTGTCTCTGGTAAATCCTCTCGCCCCCCCCCACACACCTCTGACCTGTACCCCAGTTCTTGCATGCATAAAGAAATAAATCTTTAAAAAATAATAATCTAAAGCTACCCAAGATGAAAATTGCAAAAGTACATAGAGACCAGCCTAATCTTAAAATTACATTGGCCTCTGTGTTCTCTCAATTGATACCTAAAAGCAGATTGTTCCTTTCAAAGAATCACTTTGTGCTGCCACGATAAAGTGCTAAGGGTCACAAGCATGTCTCCTGCTTCATCCTTTCATGATTGAAATATGGTGTCAATCTTTCTCTTATGCAGTGGAGGTATTCTGCAGCAGTGGTGGAGGAGTAGATGGGTACCTGGCCTCCGTTGGTCGTGGAGATGATCCTGGTTGTGCCCCCACACTGCTTCACATACCACAGGAACCAGAGAGCAGAGACTTCATGGGTCTCTGCAGTGACACAGAGGTTCACAAAAAGAATGGCAAACTGCTTCGCAGATCTGCTCAGAGAGAAACAAGAGCAAAATTGGCAAACAGGAAAACATCTTCTTCATTCTCTGAAAATTGTTCAAGCAATAAATTTATTCAGTTTGGTTTAGCAAAATTTGGCGAGTGCAAAAAATTGTCACTAGATTCCAATATTATAAAAAGTACCATCAATGATTTTTGAGAAAGGAAAGAAGTTTTGTGAATATATTTATTTTCCTTTAACTAAAATATCTTACTCAGAATCAGCTTGCATTCCATATTCTGTGCTGTCATGGTTTCTTCCCACACACCTGCTGCTCTTCCAGTGATCCCCATTTTAGTAAGAGGTATCACCATTCAGCCCATTGCTAAGGCTAACTCTCGAAATCAACCTTAATTTAATTCTTTCCATCACTCTCCCTCCAGCCAATTCATTAGAAAGCCCTGTTTTCCCTCATCATAATCTCCTGACCTTTATCACCAATAACTTAGCATCATCTCATACCAGGAATATTGAAATTACATCTAACAGACGCGTCTGTCTCTACTCATCCTCTTTTGGTATCTATTCACCACACTCAGAGCCAGAAGCTTTTTACCTCCCTCCCCAATCATGCTCCTCTTTCTAAAATATAAATCAAGTTATTTCCTTGCTTAAAATTTCCCACTGGCATCATATCGTAACCAGAATAAGATTTTGATCTTATTTCACTTTGGCCTCCAAATCCCTACACGATCTAGTCCATGCCTACATTTTCTATCTCACACTGTACTCTCTTCCACTTATACTATTGTCTCCTCAGAAAGATGGTCCTATATGTCTATGGAAGTATGTGCCAGCTTCTACATTCCCAGCACCCTGGCATTGTCTATCATTTTCCATAATGTAGGATCTTTAGAACTCTTTTTATTGTGTAATACTATCTTGAGTACTGACATTATTTGTGCTGCTGTCTCCCCCATTAGATTATCAACCAACGAGAACATGGGCCTTAACTTGCTAACAACAGTGCCTTCTTAACAAAATAGTGCCTGGCACACAATAAGCACTCAATAATCATTTGTTATTTGGTTGAATCAACAACTGGTTGATGGAAGTGATCAATTAAACATTTTAAGTTATCCATAATGTACATAAGTTATCCATAATATGCTAGGTGCTGCAACAAGAACAGAATTAGTCACAGTTATCTATTGAATTGTTTTACTGTCTAATGGAAGACTAACTCAAAGAATGATTGAGGGAGAAAGTGATTAATAAGTTTAGATAAGTGAACATTTATTGGGGCCAGCAGATAAATGGAGAGAGGTTATATCTTATCTGGAGGCACACCAGAAGAGAGAATGATCTCTCATGCAAGTCCAACTTCTCAATTATATCTAACACACCCTAAAATTCACCAGGAGTAATGTGTACTTTGGGATATATTAAGTAAGAAGTTATCCCCCTTTGACTTTGATATAAACTTTATATTCTGTCAATCTCATTATGCTGAAGGAAAATTTTCCATTTGGTGGTGCTGGCACTGGGTAGGATAAACAATACTGTCTTCCATTTATTGAACTCTTTCACATTCCATGGTCTTTAAGATCATTGTGGTATTGACATGTCCTAACAACTCTATAAAAATAGCTGTTTTCCCCTAGGTCATAAGCCTCAAATCTGAGTCTCAGAGAGGTCAGTAATATGGAGTACACTAAATAATACAACTTTCAAACAGATCATGCCTGATTCAAATATCATGCATTCAAAACACCGCATGCTTAACCCTGGGGTGTTTTAGACAGAATTAGATGACAACCTAAATACTTGCTGAATACTCACCAAGAGAGAACTCTCTAGTCTCTAAGTTGACTTCGGAATTTTATGGAACCATGTCTAACACATACACCAGTTAATGTCAATGTTTGCAGCCATAACAATCTAACAGTACTTTTGTGACAGCTCCCCTCATTAGCACGCAAACAGTGAAATATGTATGTTGAAGTGACTTAGTTTCTGTAAGATTTCTCATGATAACTGAAGGGATGGAAATTGTTAACTTGTGCTTTCTTTGCAGAGGCAATTTGTGACATATTTGCAGAGGCAAATATCCAGACATTGGTTGAAAATATTGCTTCTAAGTGAAAACATCCTTTGCTGTTTTGTGATGTCCTATTCGTTTGTTCCTTATTTTACAAGTGAATTCAAACAGCATAAGGAAATGGGTGTAAATAAATAACTGAAACTTAAAATTGGCCCAGTTAGACAGCAAATAGTAAATGTAATAATATTGCTGTGATTCTAGCTGTTATTGTTGCATATTTAGTGGAAAAAAAATAATCCTGGTTTGAAATGGAGGGAGATCTAAAAGTAATTGTCCCCGGAGACCAGGCCATTCCTAATCTTTACTTGATTTACTCTGGGAGCTTTAGTAGGGAAAGAAATGAGAAACAGTATCTCAGGGATGGAAGGTCAAGGAAGCTAGTGCAATAATATTTTTATGTTCTTTGCCCTGTTGACTTTTTAAAAGATAAATGTTATTATATCTTTCTACACATGAAAAATATATACACGTTGTACAAAATTTGGAAAATTCATAAAATAAAAAGGCGAGAATGAGTATCTTCCATATTTCTGCGCCCCCAAAGATAAACACCAGATTCTCATTTTAGTGCATTTTTTCTAGTTATACATTTTTAAAAGTCTATTGACCAAAAAAGTATATTTACATAGCTGTGGCCACACTATAAATTTAATTTGTGTTTCTGAAGAGCACTGTATAAATGATAGAAAGAATGACCAACAATCAAGTAAATAATTGTGCTTTAGTTTAGTTTAAATAACAATAGTCTGCATATTCTGAGAACTAATTTCTTTAAAACCAGGAAATAAAATCATACATAACTTTCTTAGGAAGAGTTGGAAAATTACCTCATTTTCATATATTCCTAATATCTCAGCATGCTTTATTTTGCAGCCAACATCCTAGAATATTCACTAAAGGGAGGGCTAAGCCAAGGGTTATGGTAGAAAAAGTCAGATCTTTATGATCCTAAAGGAATATAATTAGTTGAATCTTTTAAGCATTGCAAAACTCTCTGGGGAGAAAAGAATTAACTGAATTTATTAAAAGCCTTTTACAACAGAAATTATAAAACAAATGCAGATTATTGAATACTCACTATATTTTGAAAATCTAATGTAGAGGATTTAAAAATAAACACTGCAATTGTGTTAAAATTAAAATAAGTTATATTGCACACTATATTCTCAGAGAGTTATAGATAACAGTAAATACGTGTTAAAAGTATATAATTACTTATAGGATTATTTCAAGACTATGAAAGGACGTTACTATTCAGAATTGGTTCTTTTCAGAGGCTGAAGATACAGGAGAAGCATGAACATGTTTATTATAGTTATTATTATTATTACATAATAATGAAAACTGGGAGTCACAATAATATTCAATAGGATGATAATGGATAAACAAATACATTTTAGTATTCACTTTCAATTTAGTATTCACTTTCAAAGGAATATTCAGTAACCATGAAATATGTTTGATGAAGCATTTTTAATAACATGGATAAATGTTTACATTGTAACATTGTGTTAAAATATTGTTTTAAAGATTTATGTTTTTATTTATTTATGCATACAAGAACTGGGTTGTAGGCCAGAGGTGTGGGGCGGGGGGGTGAGAGGATTCAACAGAGACAAAGTGGGGAACAGAACAGGCAGACTGACTGAAATACACTGCTGAGGGGAGCAGCGGGCGAGACAGGAGGGGTCTGCTGCTCCATGCTGGCTAGCTTCCTGGCCAGGGATGGAACTCATGCCCCAGAGGCTGACAATAGTTTCATTGCTCTGGGACTTTAACCCCTGTGCCACTAGGAAGGCCCCATGTTAAAAATATTTGATGGCTATTTGTTGCTTTTGCAATACATATACGGCTTCACTGATAGATATGAGATCATGTATATAGACATATATATATATGACATATAAATACACACAGTGATAGCCTGCTTTTCTTAATATCATGATTTTTTCTTTTTTTTTTTTTTTTTTTTTTTTTATAGAGGCATGCTTTATTTATTTGTTTTGCTGGTTTGTTTGTTTGTTTTGTTTATACATGCACTGGGTACAGTCAGAAGCGCGGGAGGGTGAGAGAATTCACCAGAGCCAGAGCGGGGAGCAGAGCAGGCAGAAGGACCGAAGTACACTGCTGAGGGGAGCAGCGGGCGGCAGGAGAGGTCTGCACGCCATGTGGGACCCTCCTCTGGTGGCCGGGGAGCAGCCGAGGATCGAACCGGCGCCGCAGAGGCTGCGGGCAGCTTCGCAACCCAGCGCTCAACCGCTGCGCCACCGGGGAGGCCCAATATCATGATTTTTTCAAACTACTAAACATTCTTCTACAACATTTTATTTTTTTCAACATTGTTTTAAAAGACTGTATTCCATTTTTCAGATTTCCCACAGTCAATCAAAGCAATCTTCTATTATTGAACATTTATTTTCTCTTTAAAAAATAAAGTTTTGAGTGGGGCATGGGCAAAAAGGTGAAGGGGGTCAAAAAAAAGTGCAAATTTCTACTTGTAGAACAAGTCATGGTGATATAATGTATTGCATGGTGACTATGGATAATAGCAATGATACTGTATTGCACATTTGAAAGTTGCTAAGAGAACAGAACTTACAAGTTCTCATCACAAGAAGGAAAGTAGTAACTACATGTGGTGATGAGTGTTTACTAGACATGTTGTGGTGATCTTTTGCAATATATACAAATATTGAATCGTTATGCTGCATAGCTGAAACTAATATAATTTATATATCAATTTTATCACAATAAAATGCTTTAAGAAGTATAAAAATTTTATACCTTTTGCTTATTTCTCCATCTTAGACTCAAATATTCCTAAAATCTTTTTTTCTTTCAGTGCTTTAACTTCCTTCCCCAGTGCGTATAGAATGAAGATATCAACCTAGAGTCAAATTATTTCTAACAAAATGTTGGGAGTATTTAGCATTGGAGGGTGGTCTCCTCCAGCTCTGCCAACCAGAATTTAATGTTTGTCTCATGAGTAACAGTTTTCAATGTTACATGTTTTCCCTAAAGGGGAGAAGTTGATCTAATCATGCGTGCTTCCTCTATATGTATGATTTATCCAGAAAATTTCTCTAATTCTCCTTTTCAAATCCATGAAGAGTGCACCCCATCCCATAAGGTGTTTCAAAAGCATATATATGCCAATGCACCATCTCTATACTTGACCAGCAATGTGGAGTACAGAAGTATTACTATATCAACAACTTGATGACAGATCTTTAAAGTGATGGTGTTTAAGTCATTCTAAGTAAAGGATGTCACACATTAGAAGTTGATCTAATCATGCATGCTTCCTCTATATGTATGATTTATCCAGAAAATTTCTCTAATTCTCCTTTTCAAATCCATGAAGAGTGCACCCCATCCCACAAGGTGTTTCAAAAGCATATATATGCCAATGCACCATCTCTATACTTGACCAGCAATGTGGAGTACAGAAGTATTACTATATCAACAACTTGATGACAGATTTTTAAAGTGATGGTGTTTAAGTCATTCTAAGTAAAGGAAGTCACACATTGTGTTCTGTGGACTTTCTGGGGAAATACCACCTTTGTGATACAAAACTATTCCAAGAAGGTCTGATGTGTATATATCTTTAGGTCAGGACCTAGTTGCAATATTTTCCACCTTCCCACGTGGCCTAATAATGTGATTTTCAACAGAAAGCAGCTACTCATCATCTACCTATTGAATGGTATTGCTAAATAAACCCTAAGATGGTCGCAGCGAATGCCTGTGCCTATGGTGAGTCTTACTCAGTCCAGCAGAGCTTGTCCAGCAGCTCCTTCATTGTCATGCGGTCCCACACTTCTGCAAGGGGTGCCTTCCATGGAGCTTCATTGGGAATCTACATTCAGAGAGGATTCAGAGGGGAAAAACAAATGTAATTTTTCCATTTTCAATAACTATTTCAATAGTATTAAAACTCTAACTTAAAGAAGGAAAATGTAAGTTTTCCAAATTCCCATAGTGATATTTACTGTAGCTTTTCTAACTTAGATCTATATACTCAATCTAATTTATAATAATACTTTCTGTACAATAAATGGAGGCTATGTGGTAATTGGACTGTTTCAAAATATACATTACTAAACTGATAATAGAGAGAACATTCATAAAATTATCTGTTTAACAAGCATCAGACAGCTGCACCAAAGCCTGTCTAAATGGTAGCTTTGGGTTAAGCTTTGTGTATGTTTACTTATGGTTTGCAGATTTGGGTATAGTGGAACCAGAAGTCTTATTTTGCTGTATTGAGGATTTTCTAAATTAAAAACATCATCTCAGGAAGGCTCAGTGATATGTGATCTATATGACCATCTTACCCTCATCAGTAGCATACAAATTAGCGATTAGAGGTTAGAGACAAGGTCGCTAATTCATTTCCAAATTCTTACTGAGAGTTATGTACTAGACAACGTGCTGGGCATTTATGATGCTTCACCTTTTTTTTTTTTTTTACAATTTATGAAAAATACAAATGTAGTTAAAGAAGTTTGAGGAAGTTTTACCTCTCTTCCCATGTCATCTATTGTTCTCCAAAGGTTGTTATAATCCAGGAAGACAATTGGATTCCATACAGGTGGGAATGGGCCCCTGAAGGCGTATGATTTGCCCTGAAAGATATTTTTAAAAGAAAACATTTGCTACAATATAAAAGCAGTTAGATCTGTCAAATAGGTAAGTGTCAGCAAGCAAAAGCATGTTAACGATCAATTTATGATATATACTCAAGTGTTTTAATTCCTCATATCCCCAGAACCCTACTTAACCATTCAGTATATAGGTGTCTACCACAATTCTCTTCTTGCTAAATATTTGATGTCACAACAAACACAATTAAAAGGTCTTTCTCTGAAATTGGAACCTTTTCCACATAAATTGTAAATGGCAGTACAGAAGTGGGATTACATATTCTCATTTGTCAATGATACTTGTAAATATCTCAGAGTAAGAAGACCCTGTGAGCCTGGAGGGTCATAAAATTAGAAATCTAATGCAAATGAGAAGGGGATGAAAAGTCAATCAAAGGAATTCCACGCTCTGTAGGAAGAGACACAAAATAGGGCCCAGTAAGCTACAAGGGATAAGATGTGCTCTGTGCTAGGGGTTTCAACAAATTCAAGGCAGAAAGAAGAGACAACTTCAAGCCTCTTCTCAGGACATACTTACACTCTGATTCTCCCAATAGGGTGGGGTTACCTTGACATAGAGATAAAGGGCACACATATCTGCAAGGAATATTATGATGACACTGGGAGGCTTAATTTGATGGCATTTAAAAGAGATGCACAAAAACACTTTGGATCAATTTAAAAAGCTGAGTCAGAAGCCAGGCTGTGCAATCTGGCGTAATTTTCAACTGAATCGGAATAATTGAAAGTCTACAGTTAACCAAAAATCTCACATGAACTCCAGTCATTCAGCAAAGATTCATTTCAAATTGATTTGTAGGAAGAGAAACGAGTTGTAGAATGAGAAATGATTTCATATTCTTCCCTTTATTCATTTTGTGACAGTGGTGATCTCTCTCCTACAAGGTCATAAGATTAGCGGGGAAGAGCAATAATGTAGGCTTACTTTTCTTCTTTTATTAGTTCTCCAGGAAACAGACCAATAGTATATGAGTATATGTGTGTGTGCTATTTGGAGATATATATATATAATTGGGGGGAGATTCTAAGGAATTGACTCAAGTAATTGTGGAGACTAGGGAAGTATTGCAGTTTCAGATCTAAAGGCAGTCTGCTACACCAGAATTTCCTTGAGAGACCTCAGATTTTTCTATTAAGGCCTTCAATTGATTCGAAGAAGCCCATCAACATTATGGAGGGTGATCTGCTTTGCTCAAAGTTGACTGATTTAAATGTTAATTTCATCTTAAAAATGCAATCAACGATGGGGCCTCCCCAGTGGCGCAGCGGTTGAGCGCTGGGTTGCGAAGCTGCCCGCAGTCTCTGCAGCACTGGTTCGATCCCCGGCTGCTCCCCGGCCACCAGAGGAGGGTCCCACATGGCGCGCAGACCTCTCCTGCCGCCCGCTGCTCCCCTCAGCAGTGTACTTCGGTCCTTCTGCCTGCTCTGCTCCCAGCTCTGGCTCTGGTGAATTCTCTCACCCTCCCGCACTTCTGACTGTACCCAGTGCTTGTATAAATAAATAAATAAATAAATAAATCTTTTTTAAAAAATGCAATCAAAGAAATGTCTAGAATAGTGTTTGACCACATAACTGGGTATTTGGTTTAGCCAAATTGACACAAAAATAATCATCACACTTCTTTTTTTTTAAAAAAAGATTATACAAGAGCTGGGGTACAGGTCAGAGATGTGGGAGGGTGAGAGAATCCACTACAGACAGAGAGGGGAGTAGAACAGGCAGACATATTGAAGACACTGCCAAGGGGGCCAGTGGGCAAGACAGGAGAGGTCTACCATGCCATGTGGGTTTCTCCCTGGCCATCCGGGAATCGAACCTGCGCTGCAGAAGCTGCAGACAGCTTCATAGCATGGCGCTCAACCCACTGCACCACTGGGTAGGTCCCTCACCACACTTCTTAATCAACTTCATTGAGGTAATTTACATAATGTCACCATTTTCAATGCAGGATTTGGAGAGTTTTAACACGTGTACATGCATGGGAACACTGACACAATCAAGATATAAAACATTCTGATCATCTCAGTTTTTTCTTGCCCTTTTTCAGTCAGTCCCTGCCACCCTCTGGCCCCAAACAATTATTGCCCAGTTTCCTGTAACTATAGATTGACTCCTCCTGTTCTAGAATTTTTTTTAATGGAATCATGCTGTATGTACGGTACCATCTTTTTCTGGCTTCTTTGGCTTAACATGATGTTCTTTTTTTTGTTGTTGTTGGGTCAAGGGGCATGTGCATCTAATATATTTTCTTTTTTAGAAATAGCTGTTTTTCTCTCTTCAAATTGGTTGCATTGATTTGTACTTCTACTAACAGTGTGTGAATGAATGCCTGTAGTTTTGTTTGTTTGTTTTTACTTCTCCAACAATGCAGTTATCAAAATATTTATTAACTGTTAGGACAAAAAGGTATTTATGATTTTATTGGGCATCCATTCATATATTTATTAACATTTATAGTTCTTGTAAGAGTTACATTAACATGATGTTCTTGAGTTTAGTCCATGCTGCAATTTGTTTTTATTGCTGTGTATTGTTCCACTGTGTGGCTGTACTGTGGTTTGTTTATCCATTCATCCTTTGATGATTATTTCCACATTTGATCTATTGTGGATTATACTGTTCACATTCTTATACAGGGTTTTTTTTTTTTAAATATACATGCTTTCCTTTACCTTGGCTAAATGCCTAAGAGTGAAATGGCTGAGCTGTATGTATAGTGGGTATACATTTGACATTTTATTTTATTTTATTTTTTTAAAGATTCAATTTTTTTTAATTTATACAAGAACCAGGGTACAGGCCAGAGGAGCAGGAGGGTAAGAGGATTCACCAGAGGCAGAGCGGGGAGCAGAACAGGCAGATGACCGAAATACACTGCTGAGGGGAGCAGTGAGCGTGACAGGAGAGGTCTGCCATGCCATGTGGGAATCTCCCTGGCTGCCCGGGAATCGAACCTGTGCTGCAGAGGCTGTGGACAGCTTCACAGTGCTGCACTCAACCCACTGCACCACTGGGAAGGCCCTACATTGGACATTTTAAGTTTAACAGTTTCCCAAAGTAATTGGACTGCTTTCACATTCTTTCCAGCAATTTCTACTTGTTCCACATCCTGACCAAGACTTGAGGACTTTTTTTTTGTTTTTATTTATGCATACAAGAGCTGGGTACAGGTCAGAGATGCGGGAGGCTGAGAGGATTTACCAGAGACAGAGTGGGGAGCAGAAAAGGCAGATTGACTGAAATACACTGCTGAGGGGAGCAGTGGGCGAGTCAGAAGAGGTCTGCAGTGCCATTTGGGTTGCTCCCTGGCCGGGGATCAAACTCGTGCTACAGAGGCTGCAGATTGCTTCATTGTGCGGTACTTAACCCCTTGTGCCACCAGGGAGGCCCTGTGGACTTTTTTTTTGTTCAATTTTTTTAAAGACTTATTTATGCATACAAGAGCTGGGGTACAGGCCAGAGGTGTGGGGGGTGAGAGAATTCACCAGAGACAGAGTGGGGAACAGAACAGGCAGATTGACCAAAGTACACTGCTGAGGGGAGCTGCAGTCAAGTCAGGAGAGGTCTGCTGCACCAAGTGGGTCACCTCCCTGGCCGGGGATAGAACTCGTGTTGCAGTGGCTGTGGATTGCTTCATAGGCTGTGTCTTAACCCTTGCGCCACCAGGGAGGCCCTGTTCATTTGTTTTAAACACACTGCTCATTTTAGAATGATGTGAGACTTACAGGGAAGTTGCAGACAGAATACAGAAGGCATCTATACACACCTCAAATAGTTTTTTTCTGAGTGTTAGCACTGTGCAATGCCATGGCACGCTTATCATAACCAGGAGGCTCACACCGATATATCACTATTTATGAAATTTCAAACTTTATTTGGATTTCACCAGTTTGTTGATGTACTTTTTTCTGTTCCAGGATCCCATCCAGGAGACTACATTACATTTAGTCATCAAGTCTCCTTTGGACTGTGACAATGTCTGTCTTTCCTTGTTTTTCATGACCCTGACAGTTCTGAAGAATACTGGTCAGGTGTTTTGTAGAATGTCCTTCTATGTGGAGCTGTCTAGAGTTTTGCTTTCTTTTAATTTAAAATTTTTTTTTAAGATTTATTTATTTATGCATACTTGAACTGGGGTGTAGACCAGAGGTGCAGGGGTGAGAGGATTCACCAGAGAGAGAGGGGGAGCAGAACAGGCAGATCGGCTGAAATACACTGCTGAGGGGAGCAGCAGGGGAGACAGGAGAGGTCTGCTGCACCATGTGGGTGAGCTCCCTGGTCAGGGATTGAACTCATGCTGCAGTGGCTGGCGATAGCTTGATAGTGCTGAGACTTTAACCCTTGCGCCACCAGGGAGGCCCTCTTTTCCCTCTTTTCGTTTTTGAACAAGCTTGTAGAATTGGGAGAAAGAACACAGTAGAGGCAAAATGCCCTGTAATTATGACAACACAGAAAGCATGAGACTTGCACTGATGGTACTAATCTTTGTGCCCTGGTTAAGGTGGTGTCTGTAGGGTCTCTCCACCACAGTTACTGTTTCTCCCTTTTTATGCTCTGTTCTTTGGAAGAAGAACAGTTAGGACCCAGTAAGCTTGCTACAAGGAATAAGATGTGATCTGTGCCAGGGGTTCCCAAGATCAACAAATGCAAGGCAGAAAGAAGAGACAATTTCAAGCCTCTTCTCAGGATGTGCTTATACTTAGTCCATCCTAAAGAGGAGATGCTGGGAGTTGAGCTCTACTTCCTGCAGGCAAAATATGCACATAATTAAAAAAAAATCTCCTCTCTAAGAAATATTTCCCTCATATCATTATTAGTATGAATTTATATATATATATGTATGTATATGTCTTATGCTTTGAATTAAAACCTAATACTACATTATTCATTTTGCTGCTCAAATTATTTACACCTCTGGACACTGGGAGCTCCTTCAGTTGACTCCTGTGTCCCTTTCCCA